TTTACATGATTCAATCACTGTATAGAGCTCATTTGATGCAAAACACTCTAGCCGGACTGACAGTTAGAATGCCGCCCTAAATCTTTACTATTTGTGGGGCCGTGCAGGCATTCTAAGTGTAGGAAAATGAGACACGCATTCTAAGCCTCCACCCTGGAGCCGGTACGGCATTCTAACTTTCAGTCCGGCAGTATAGCAAGACACCCATGAAATTGGCTACGACCATGGCAACCTCCCAAAGGGAGGGTGACAGCTGAGGAATAGAAGCTTTCCTGTACAAATGATGGCCGTAGCTCATTATATATGTTATGTGAATGTTTGAGTATGTTTGAGTCAAATTCTGCAGGTCTCCACTCCTAGTGCCCTTCAGTCAATTGAAGACACATATTGCACCACATCACTGATTTTCAGGCCGTGAAGAAGCCGAAGAAAAGATTCGTGCTATCAACAACGCCTATGCGCCTGAGTGGCAATGCTTGTCAAAGAGACAGACGAGCAGTGGTCACCAATGCGAATCGCATTTAAAACTGTTGGGTAATGTGTTTGACGTTGTCATCTCCACTTCACGTCCTTTTTTAAAGGAAATACGGGCAATAAGTTTTTGAGGCCGCCCTATAGGGTAATTGTGATGAGTAAACTGGATGTGACAGGGAAGTTCCATTGTGGAGGTCTCACGAACCTTGCGACATCTCGAACCGGCGTCCAGAAGCGCCAGTTCCGAAACCATCCTGACTGATACCCTTTTTCTGGATACATAATCCATTTAACAACCCCTGACCTCAGTCCCTGCAAAATAGTATTGATTGTTTTCTGGAATTGACTCTGAGTGTTGGATTGAAACCCTTCTGACCACTTGAGACGGATGTTTCTCACTCTGCCCACCCTCCGTGGCCATCATTTTGAGGAGACCTTGAGCAATGCCACGAAGCGTGTCTCGGATGACGGATGCTTTTGAAACTTGCGTCGATTTGGGTAGAGGGGGTCGATCTGTGGACTCTGTGGACGATGTGGACTATGCTTGGAAATCAAGGAACTGTTCCAAAATGTTTCAACACCAGATGTCACATAGTATACATTAAGGTAGGGGCTCCTGGCATGGCTACTAGGAGCAAGGACGCTACTAAGGACTCCTGGCCTTACTACTAGGAGCAAGAACGCTTATGGATCTTCTCTCAGCGATTTGTTGGGCCGCTTGGAACCGGTCTACTTCAGAAAGGACTGAAGTTGATCGTTTGGGCCTGTCCGTTCTTGCCTGTTAACAGTCGGTAAACACGTATCACTATTTTAGAGAAAGGCCTGCAACCTAACCATCATGTCTTAGTTGAGCAGTTCTTGAGCTCTTTGCTCCCGCTCCTGCTGAGGTGCCACCTATGACGCTCAACGTCAGGCCTTGCTTCGGCAGCAGCGGGGCCACGGACCCGACCTGCAGGCTACGGTCGACTGACCCGGGACCTGCGGCCGCGCGTTCCCGCGCCCAAACCCCAATCCCAAGCAGAAACACGGGCTTGTTCCAAATTCCAATATGGCTTGCTTGAGATCCTTCACAGACGTGGTTCTTTGATGTTCTTTGGGAAGACATCCATTTCTGTCCGGTTGTTTGGATTTCCAGGTTGTTTTAAACAGGAGCTGCTGCTGGGATGATCGTTTTTTGGACGCTGAACATAAGAAAACCATAGAAAACCTGTGGGCGGATTAAAAGATAATACATAAGTGTAGGGGAGCATGACATGTTCTAGGTATCTTTGGTCTCAACAAGAAGGCCTGGTGACAATTGAGCTAGCGACTAAAATCTCCCATGTAACATTCGAAAGAGATGTTAATGTAAGAATATTTTACAAAGCTTCTTTGTAGCCAGCTACTCGTCAATGGCAAACATTTATATTGGCAATGATGTGCATGTAAGTAATGTGTCACATGGTCCATGTACAGCAGCCCTGTCCGCGAAAGCTGGTGAAAGTGGTTTCACACAGAATGCAGCTCACAAAAGCCCAAACACAAGTTGCAAACGCGTGGCGACAGACATGTGCGAAAGAAGGGCCAATCAAAATGCCGTGCCAGGAACCCTTCGTCTGAATGAACCCTGCAGAAGGGCTTCAAAGAACCCTTCCAAACTCATGAAACGAGCCTGAACCCATGCTCCCTTTACCTCGGCCATCCTTGGGCCGGCTATGAACCATGTCCAGGGCGCGCCACGTCAGAGAATCCCACGAGAGTTCATGCTCCAACCCATTGGGACCGGGAGCCCAGAGAAACAGGTGGACTAGTGGATAGGTGGAGGTCGAAGCGAAGTAGATGGGGAGGTGAATTGGATTCGGAGATAGATGGGAGTGGCAACACCAACTCAGCTTGGGGACTCCAAGTACATTGGTGGAGGGCCTAGGGTCAGAAGTGATCGGGGCGTTCTGTTGAGGATGGTGATTTAAGCAACACCTTTTTAGAGGAAATGCAACCTGAGTTTGCATGTTTCTTCCAAAGATCGATGGCACTCGAAGCTTCCTGTGGAGTACTTCTCGACTTGTGGGACTTGAGCACGAACCAGCACGACGTGGAGTACATTTGCTGTCAGTGTCCAACTAGCGTGGCACTTGTTACTAGTAGCTTCTTGTTTCTAATAGTTTTTTGTTACTACTAGTAAGGCACTTGTTACTACTAGCGTGGCACTTGTTACTAGTAGCCTCCTGCCTTTTTCCCAGGTATCCCGACAAGTTTGTGCGCTACGCCTCTGAACGGGCGATGTCCCAATGCGAGGTGGGCGCCTTTGGCGGCGAGACTTCAGGTGTCCTAAAGCAGGACTTCAAAGTGCAGAGGTCAGATACACAGATGATCACAGATTCATGATTGTGCAGTTTTTTTGGTTTGTCCTTCTTAATGTCATCTATCTGTCTAATTTCCTTGTTCGTATCTTGAGACCACCGCAGTGATTTTCATGTCCTGCTGTTGCAGTGATATTCCGACAGGTCCATCCAGTCCGTCCAGTTGCTTCAAAGACCAGTCCGAAGACACATCGAACTCTCAAAAGTAATGGATACCTGCTGCACTGTTTGATCAAAGATTGCCAAACAGAAGCAGAACGAAGCAAACATGTGTGTGTGTGTTCTAAGCTGGGAGCTGCCTGGAGACAAACCCACTAGCATTTCTCTGGTTGTTCTCCATTTGTTCTTCAAAAAGTAAGACAACACAACCTTTTAAGTTCACCACAGAGTAAGGACCAAGGAAGTTTTGCCTCTTTCGAAGTTCACCTATCCTTTCACCATTTATTTCATCTCGCAAGGCAACACTTCACCTTTTTCTGGCTGTCTCCAATGGTCTCTTCATTCATCGAGGTGACCAGCCGGGCGGACGCTCGCCTCGATGGGAAGAGTGGTTTGGATCAGCCACCTGGCTGGAGAGAGCCGGAAAAAACTGCCGCAGCAGACGGGAAGCCGAGAAGCTCCCCCCATCTGTAGATGTAGACGCCTCCAACCTACTAGCGCGATGGCCTCCAACCTACTAGCACTAGCGCGATGGCCTCTATCCTACTAGAGATGTCATCCTGGTACGTTGATTCAGTTGAATCAATCAACCAGTCAACATTTAATGTCACTGCAATCATGGAAGTGGCCCACTTTGTAGAGGGACGTGCTCTTCCAGAGCTTCCATATTTGCGGATGTAGAGCTGAATCCTATATTGACCCTAATTTAATCAACTATTGTAGTAGGTTGTGTCCACTTCGGTGGACAAGTGGTAGTGTCCAACTTATAAAGCACATTGACAAAATCATGTTTAAGTCGTCATTTGGATCCACCAGTGATCTCCCAGTCACTCACCTGACTCACTGCAAGCATGGAATGTCCCCGTTTCACCCAGGTTCGTGCCCTTCTTCCGGGCTGCGAAGCTCTCGCTCTGGTGGTGTCTCGGTTTGCATCATGGGAAGACAGCCAAACTGCATAAACGCAGGGCTGATGGCCTGTGGTGTGGCTGAGCTGAACAGATTGCGACAATCATGGTACTGGTAACGCACTATTGTAGCCAATGGTTTCTTCACTCGTTTCAGATCCTGGTCAGGGTAATTATTCACTCTCCAGACCTCTTTGGCGCCCACTTGAGGGCTGCCGACTCATTTGATCAATTGTCCCCCAATCCCGCATCACAAAGACGGTCTTTGCAAGAGACCATGTGTTCACTGAACAAGTCCAGTTCCAGTGCTGACTGTTTCCACATGTGTCCACCTTTGTACAAAATTGTATGGGTTCTATGTGACTGCACCTCTTCAACCTTAGAACCACACCAGACCTTCCAAGTCAAGTGTCAGTCACTGCTTCACGGCCCCGTGACGTCGCACCGAACTCACCGAAATCCGTCACGTTCCTACCCTGGACTGCAGGGGGTGTCCGTTCTCACCTGTAGGAGTCGGTAAACAATCATGTTTCACTCTTGCAGGGAATGGGATATATACCGGTCTATAGGCTTCATTGAAACGGTGTCCGAACCCGAACACCCCGCAAAAACACCGCAGAAAAAAACCCTACCTCGGAACCCACCGACGTCTCATCTCCTGTTTTCGCTCCTCAGACCCCGAAGGTTGCCCGACGTCAACAACATGTGCCGCATCCGGGCGCTGGAAGCTCGCACGCGGTCGAGCGCCGGCGAGAAGGCGAGGAGGGCGAGAAGGCGGAGGAGTGTGGCGGACCGGCGAGGGAACCAAGAGTCGAGTGGCTAGTTGCGTCCTTGCTCCTAGTAGTAAGGCCAGGAGCCCCTACTAGCGTCCTTGCTCCTAGTAGCGATGCCAGCGGCCCCTGGTAGCTTCTTGTTTGGTTTGTTGGAGATTGTTGGTTCCTTTTTTTTTAAAGTTCAAGAGTCTTTGACGGCAGCGACCTGCCCCAAAGCCCGAAACCTCCCCTGTTCCATCCTCGCACACCAAAGACCAAATCTGCCCTCCCGGTGGAATCCATCCATATATCCATACCCATCCACCATCCGTCCATATCCTGGAATGCTTCCAATCCATTCGCATCCCAACGAAAAGCGCCCTTCACCGACTCGCCACTGGACTGTCGCGACTGTCTTCAGGTGGTGGCCGGACGGCCTGGAGGTTTCAACCTGGGCTTCGAGATCGAAGTCCACCCCGCTCAGAGTGCATTTTTGCACGTGACTGTCGGTCTGTGGTCCGTTCGTCGGTTTGGTTTATCATCTGTGAGCTTGGTGAGGTTTGTGGCAGTCTCCTTTAGGAGACAGGTCCGACAGGTCAGTTTTTGAAGAGCTAGGCAATTGGAATCTAGATTGTGTGTGAAACTCCCAATATGGAGATTCTAAGTCCATTTTGGTCGGGGGTTATTGTCGTTCAACAGTCTACGTTGCTGTTGTCACTGAATTGTTCGTGATAGATCATTGAAGGGATCGCAGGAGTTGGGGGAGCACAGAGCTCCGTCTCAAGAAGTATGAAGTGCCCCGTGTTGGGCAAAAGGCATTTGAGTTAGCTGAATGGATGTCCCTATTGCCATGAAGTGGGCGGATCATACATTTTATATACTTGATTGTGGATGTGGATCGATCTTGAACCCTTTTGTACATTAATGTATTGGAAATCCTTTGAACAAGAGAAACACAAACTCATTTTCTTGATTGTTGGTCCTTAAGGAGGTATTGGTTTGGAACCCCTGACAGCTTTCACAACCTCATGGGCCAGTTTGCTCTTTTGCCCCTGCTGGGCTCACACCAGATCTTGGTCAAGTGAGAGCAACCTTCCCTGTATTGATACCTAGCTTGGGTCATTTGGACTGGCTTTTTGTCACTTGGCATTCGACATTGTAGCGAGAATGATGCATTTGCAGGCAACATCACTGGCAACCATCGTATGCCATCAGGATGGTTCGTGAAGACTCTCGAAAATCCATGTTCTGACCATCGGACTGACAACGACTTTACACGCGCGCCTGTCGAAAGCGTTCGGAACGCCGGTCGAACCGGCAACTGGCGGAGCTCCGTTCGTGCGTTGCAAGCTTTCAGAGTTGACATGTTAGGAACTGAAGTGGTGGATAGGGGAACCAGTGGTGAATCAACGACCATTCTCTGTTCCCAATTTGAACCCACGTCAGAGCATCGCAGGTTGATTTTTTAAAATGTGCTGTTCACATTTTTTGCTTATTTGTGCTCAGGTAGTTTGATGCTTCAGACAGAGATTTTTGCTGTGTTGTCTACGTCTATGTCTTGGAATTAATGATTTCGTATCGCTGTTCAACATGTGGGATGGTCAAACCTTCCAATGCGTTGGGCCAATTGGGGACTGACATGAGGACGTTTGCCGAGTCCTTACCATTTGGTGGCTCATCAAACATCACGTGTCCGTTCGGAGAACAATTGCTTTGAATCAAGACATCCCTTGTGAAATGAGAGATAAACAGTAAATTGTTGCATTTGGGGCAACTTGTTCTGTCTTAATTCCAAGCTCAAATCCTTCCTTGGTGCTGTATGATGTGACGTGAGTCCTGATGCTGAGAATGTTCAAGGGGCTTGTTTATTGAGTGAACAAGTAGTCGATCCAAAATACGGTGGGGTGTCCTGCTCATGGAAATAGTTCTGAAACGGTTGCCTGAGATTGTGCGAACAGAATGCGGTTGACCTTGGCAAAGGACTCCATGACCTTTGCCACATCACCACTCTTAGCTGGCAAATGTGTTTGATCACAAGTCCCTGTTAAGGAGATGAGACAATGATTCTGATAGTCCTTTCAGTGTAGCAGGGCGTTATCTTTGGTCGGTGCTGAGGGCTCCTCTAGCATTTTAGAGAGCTCCTTCCAAAATGGACATCCTCCTTTGCCATTCGAGAATCGCTTTCTCTTTGTTTAAGAATTGCAAAGGAGCTGCCAGGAACAGCAAGTGAGCACCTTCTTGTGTGATTGAAGCTTATTGTTAGTTCATTTCTTCAAGGTGTTTATGCTTGCATGTCTTTGGCAGGTCTTTGTGGATGCATTCCGTGTCCGCAGTTGTAATCATTTGACTCGATCACTCAATGAAGTTAGATGTACAGCTGATGGCAGAGCCTAGCGTAAAAGCATTTAAGAACCATCGGGACATGTTGTATGTATTTGTGTTCATCTTCTACACATAAGCTTCAACACTCCTCAAGCCGCTCCTTGGAACTCTTTAATATAGCTACCAGCTTAGCCTCCACCATCCTTTTGTCCAAAGTGACCGCATCGCCCACCTCGACCACTTGCCCCCACATCCTCCACCCGTCGCCAGCGCCGCAAACACCCACTCGGTCGGCACGACGACGTGGAGCCACCCGTCGGTTTTGTCCGAGAAGGTCTTCACGCTCAGGTCGGTCGCGACTCTGACCTCAAGCTCATGGAGGCCGATCTGCTCCGAACACGGCAAGAACGGGAATTTTTCACTGGAAACATCAAGATTCGAGATGCTCCAGGAGTTCCCTTTCAGGGTGCTGAAATTGGAGGAAAGGGGTGCCCATGATCCACTCACTTAATTAGGGACTCACAGGACCCCTTTGGAACTGCTGGATTTTAACATTGCCTTGAATGTTTTATCTTCACAGCTTTCCCAATTTTTGCGGGATCATAAGCTGAAGCAAAAGGGTGCGACTTTGGAACACGTCGAACAGCCAGCCAGTCAAGACGCTACCATGCTTTTCTTTTTTGGACACGCTCGTTGAAGTAAGCCGAGCGAGAAACGCAGCCCATGTGAAGGCGGGAAAAGGAGAACTTAACGAGAACGTCAATTTCATCGTGGTGTCCAGCTGGGCCCCTCAGAGAGTTGCATGACATCCTGCATCACCGGTACCTCAAACTCAAATGACTTCTAGAAAATCTCGAGTCTGCATTGAATGCGTGTGAACACCAATGTTAAATGAGGTTTTGGTCACCACAAATACCCTTTGAGGGGGGTGATGGCCTGATCACCTCACTAATAATGTGAATTCGCCCCTAGTGTGCTCCCTTGCAGCGAGTTGCTTGGCGTGAATCGACCAGTTTTTGCATCGCGTTCACAGGCTTTCTTGCAAGTCCTTTCGGCCAAATACACACCCAAGAACGAGACTAGTTGGTTGCTGTTGTATACGTGTTCAGTGAGTTTAGCCTCAACTAGCTTTACACTTTAAGAGGAACGAGTTGGTAACTATATGATGGGTCAGCATTTGTTTGAGGTGCTCTTTTTTCCCTAAAAGCTGAGGCCCTCTCTACGACAACGCCTTTCGCTTCGAGGTGCCTGTTGTTAGCACGGAGGTGATGGGCTTGGGAGCTGCCTGGGGCTGCCTGGCTGGTTTGCAATTTTGCAGCAAGGCTGAGGATGTTCAGCTTGAAGCTTCACTCAGCTCCAGCTCAACCCCCAAGATGTATATAGATGTAGCCGGAAGCACCTTGTCACAAGAATGGACGTGGTATATACTTGTACAAGTACAAACCGCCGAAGCTTCTTTGAAGCACACCGAGACATCTTGAAGGTGACGGAACGCTATTAAAACAAGTGCATCGCTTCTAGTAACAAGTGCCTTACTAGTAGTAACAATGTTCGCTATTAGGAACAAGTGCCTTACTACTAGTAACAAGTGCCTTACTAGTAATAACAAGAAGCTATTAGAAACAGGAAACAATTAGAATTGTCCCAGTGTCTTGCCGCAGGAATCATCCACAGCGATTCCACACCGTGTCAAGTCATACTGTACCCACTGTTTAGTGAAGTCACCACATGGAAGTAGTCATCACACGAGCCATTTCTAAATTTTAATTTGGGTTGTGGATGAGCTAGGGCCGCTAGGGAACACTTGGTGTAGCTGCAGCAGGGTCTACTCACATGTCCCTAGTGGAGGTTGATATGAACGTGCTAGATGCAATGCAACTTCTTCTTTGTTTGACACCCACTTTGATAGAGACTGACACTCCTAGAAACAATAATGGCTTGCTCTTACGCACAGAGTTGCAGAGCACGCGCGTGTGCAAGACATGAGCCATGTTGTCCAAACCCAAACCCCTTGGACCCAAGCATCATGATTCTCCGCTCATTTCCCCTACTTTCAACGACAAGGCCGCCTTCAAGAAGGGCTACTACTTGGCTTTCCGGCCGCCTACGCTGCTGAGGAGCGCCAAATCTGACTGCATCTTTGAAAACCCCAAATGGGAATAGAGTTTAGACCTCACGGCCTGAAGTTTGAAGAATCCGGTCCCAAAACAGAATCCTGAAGCAGATTGTCAAGCGAAGGCGCAAAACCAGTGCCTGTGAACCAAAAATTGTTGGGCCTTGGCTTTTGCCACCCATAGTTTCGGGGTTTAGGTTGCTGGCGAAGGACACCTGTGGAATTGGCCGCTTTTCTGACCTTTCTGGTGCCCCTTTGCAGGAAGGTTAGCAACCTTAGCTTGTTCGGTATGAGTTTGATAAGCTTGTTGGATCTTGGGCTTTTTGCGGGTCCTGCGTTCAAGAGCCTTTTGGCTAGGTGTTCGGTGTTGAAATCTTTAGCAACTCAGATTCCAGCTCGTTTCTAGGGGGCTTCTCGTTGAGCCAACGGGACGATTAACGGATCGCTCTCGCTGGAGCCCCCGGAACATCGGGCTCGCGATCGCCAGGATGATCCCGTACAATGGTGGGCCGCTGCCCAAAAAGCCACAGACTTAGAGCGCCACAGACAGAGGGAGTGGGGAGCACTGGGTGAGCGAGCACTGGGCGCGCCACGTGGAACTCAGTCGGGAGTCACTAAAAGGTCCAAAGTTCATGCAATGTGCGACATCCTACGTGAAGCTGGAACAACAAACATCTTAGCAGATGGTTCTTCGTTGCAGCTTATCTCAGGTGGTGTCATCAGTGGTCCACCACCAGCCTTAAAACTCCGCAGAAATCCCCAAGGGAAAAACCATCCCAGGAAAATCCTTGATCAGGATCCTCCGAAACCGCACTTTGTGTTTTGACCACCAGGAGTCACATGTCGGGGTGCTGAGCTTGGAGGATAGGGGCACCCATGATCCAATCACTGGATGGGACTAAAAACGCCCCAACTCCATGTGACTCCTGGCAGAGATAGACACTGAAGCAGCTCAGGGTGGTCATCGATTTCACCTTGGTCGACTTCCAGGCGAGGACGAAGGTTCAAGCGAGGACGGAGGTTCAGAGAGCGACATGGCGTGGGAAGATAAGTTTTGAACTCATACACGTACTGTAGGTAAATAGAACTCTGCAAAACTGCAACATCATGACCATAGGCCCGACATTTGCGCTCCAAATGCCATGAGTGGTCATGAGTAAGAGTGCTGTTTGGGGACGCCCCTAGGATCCTTATGTCCCTTTAAAGCAGACCTCCTACTCTTTCATCTTCATCGCTTCAGACACCCGTTGCACAAAATACAAAAAGGATTTACCCAGAACAACTCCAATGCATTTGTTTTGTTTCCAATTGGAATGGCAAGCAGGGGGGTCAGGGGGTTGTTTGGAGGGTGATAATGTTTGGCAGATGCTTTTGCTGAAGCTATCTTACTTTCCAAACTGTAGGTATCAAAAGAAAGAAGGCCCCCCAACCTCAGTATGGGTAGAAAGGACCAAGCAACAAATCCCCTCACTTGTCTCACAAAGGTCTTTGTTGTTTGGTGGGCCAAATCCCCGCAGGCAATGTTTAAGTTCATCGACATTGAAGAGGTGCACGCGTGGGCTGGGGAAGTAGTGGGTTGGTTAAACTAATGTTTTAAAGACTTATTGGGTCAATAAAACTAATGTTTTAAGTTCTATTTGGGTCAGTTTTTCGGGTCACCCCAGAGCAACAGAAGCAATTGGTCCAAACTCACCCTTGTGTGACTTCAACCAATGAAGGTGCCCCCAACGCATCCCAACTAACGCCCCCAACGCAGAACCCCCATGGTGACTCCTTGGGAACGCCCCCATTGTTGAACAGCTGAGAGGTTCGAGAAAGCACCATGCGGGATCATGCAGGTCCGAGAGAGAAGATCTTTGGCAGGTGAATATTCCATGGAAGAGCTAAGTAGGGCATTGGAGGTTTCTTGTAAGGATACAGTGGCTGACTGATTCTGAAGACTTTCTTTTATACAATAACACAATGCTCCGGAAGTTCTCAACCCTGTGGCCGAAAGCTTGCTTGATATTTCATATCCGTGGCCACATCCGACTCCATGGCCGCTGGCCTCAAACTCTTCGGGTCGTTTTTTCCCACCGCCCGACCGAGAAATCTCAGGTGCTTCGACCAGTCATCGAGAGCAAAGGCGGTTGGGTGCCCCTGGAGCAGGTCAAGGCCGATGCCAACGTCGTCGTGGCTTGGCGGGTGAGTCGGTCGGTTTTCGGGGGGGCACCACTGGTCGGGGGGGACGTGAACATGTGGGTTGTTGGAATGAAGATGTGAGAGCCGCGTTGGTTGAGACGTATTGATGTGTTTGTGGGGAGGAACAGGTGATCTCCATGACTTCATGAGGAACAGGTGACCTCCCAAAGCTTTGTCAACCAAGCTGTTTGCCTTGCTCCATCAACACGTGATAATTGAGGACCTTCTTTCCACCTTTTGCCCATCCTCGGGCGCCCGTCATTTTAAACAGTGGAGGGTCTGGCGTCCTTTTTGCACAGGGGTTTGGGTGCCAAAAGGTTATTACCTATTTAACTCAATAGTCAATAGGCACAAGCATACCTAAGACATACTCGACTATTTTTGATATCAGTCCCTCCAATCCAGCATCCCTTGAGGTGCTTGTGTGGATAGTTATATCCGATAATATCCGCCTTTGCCGCCGTAGTTATAGCTGAGGCATATTTCAACAACATTTTGCAGAAACCCATGTGGGATGATGATGACTTTCAGACGTACTTTGAGGGCCACTTCGAGATGTGGGAGCTTCTTGGCTGTGCTGAGATCGTTTCATGAGACCGTTGCATGTCCTGTTTCCCCCGTCGATGGATTGATTGACCTCAAAGCGCCGAGGATGACCGTTTTGATCGATGGTGTGGTCACATGCAGACAAGCAGGATGAGTGGAAGTGGTCCCCAAGCTACCGTTTGGGATAACACCCAGTAAAGCCAAGCAAAGTGATTGACAGTCAGTGGGTTTCAGCACGTTTTAGCAGTGGTACTCTCTCTCCCAAAAAAAACTAGGATGCCACATGGATATGACTCAAAGTAGCCGACTCCCGAAAGCCACATCAAAGCCCCGCACATAAGGGGTGCTGACCGAACCTATGCCCAATTCAATCCATTTCAATGCCCAAGAATCACATATCAAAACATGGCTGTGTAGATTCAGCGTGGCTCTGGGAAGCAAGCAGCTCAAACACTTGCAGGAGTCTAGTGCCCTACCTAAGATGAGAAGGAACAGGCAGAGGAGTGAGTCATAAACCTTGAAACCAGCAGATGTGTTCAGTATTTCCTCGAAAAGGCCCGGACCTTCGGAAGGGTCACAGCTCTACTGCGGTTTCTCGCACCCAGGTACCGGACGTCGCCAAAGCAAGCGGTGAGGCACGACGAACCGATTGCAAGTGGTCGTATTTCTTAAGGAGCTTTAAATGGAGTTCGTTGGACCACGTAAGAGACAGGGTCCAAAATCCACGCTGTAAGACACAACACAGGGTCCAAATCCACACAGGGTCCAAAATCCTGTTCGTTGGACCACGTGAGACAGGATAAATTTCAAGAGCTGGGATGTTCTCACTCTGGAAGTTTCAATCATCCAGGTGGGTTGCTGGGTGGATTTGGATGCGCTTTGAGACATCATACATGGTCGGTTGACTATATGTGCCAGAAGAAAAGCGTTTCGGTGCTAATTGAGTGTTCATAGTCATCGTGTTCATTTGTCCAATTTGTCATTGTCAAGCCATTTGGAACGAGCCGTAGTGATGCTGCTCAATGATCCTCATTTGTGGCATCGACCGTTTTGGTACTATGAGCTCATGATATGACAAGTTCAAGAAAGCCAACCGCTAACCTCCAAAGTTGCCGATGATTTTGGCATCACTTCTTGCTTGGACTAATGATTGAAGGCTTGCAGCAGCTTGCTCAGACTTATACAACTCATGAAGCTTGCTCCACCCGATACAACAACCGGACGCCGGACTCGGCCTCGTCGAGTCTTTGTCGCCGAGTCTTCGTCGAAGACTTGCCAGGCTGAAGGGCGTGGACGAGCGCTTGGGCCACGCCCTGGAGCGAGTGAAGGTGAGCGCCCTGGTGGATTGACGTTGATGTTTTGTTTGAGGGTCCAGCTTCAGATATATAATCTTCAGACATCTTGAGCTTTCGGGGTGTTGTTTGGAGTACTGTATGTATGGTTGGTTCAGTTCTGCTACAGAGTGGTTATAACGTGTTTGTTATGAGCTTCAGATCTTGAAGGGTTGAAATTGATTGTTTACAATACTCATGGTCAGAAGAGATTTGTTGGATAGTTCCAGTGATTTGTTGTTTTGTAGATGATGGATTTAAGAGGTAGGTGTCACATCTTGCCACATTTCAACTCACAATTGAATGGGAAAATGGCCACAGTCAAAACACGTTCTATAGCTAAGGGAGCCAGCATGTTCACATTCTAATACGGTAAGTGGCAGAGTTCAGTTTCACAAGACAATCAATGCTTGGCTGGGAGCCAGGCCAAGTCCACGGTTTGCAGCGACCGGATAAATCGCAGGACGCAGATGAAGCAGCTTCGTTGGTGGTGACGTGCCTTGGTTGGAAATTGCATGGAGTCTTGAGGCACCCGGGTGATCCACCACTTTGCGGGAACAACGAGCAGCTACTCACTGAGTCACGCATATAATTACATCATTATATAGATCTATGATCTATCTCTCTATATATATACAATTATATACATTATTCATATATTATCATGTATAAATAGAGAGAGAGATTTGCTGCACTCTGAATCATTTGATTACCGTTCTTTTTCGCACAAATGGGGGTGTATTCCCCCCACATATTAGATTAGACTGACCCATCTTCCAAATCCAAAAAATGTCCAGTCTGACCATGCGCTTAGAGCGGGCGGTGGAATTCCCACTGGACATCGTCCATACATATATATTTACTGTATACAATTTGTAAGTCAATTGTTCTACTTGAATCACCTTGGGATCACACTGCAAATTTACCCTTGGATCCTCCGGACAACATGGATCCCCAATTCACCACTGGTGTCCAGCGTTTGTGGTCACCATAGGAGACCACAGCTGCAAAAGACCTGTCAGTTTCCTCATTGCTGCGCTGCAGGGCCGGAGAAGAACTGAAACGCCTCCATTGGTTTGGGGCGCCCAGAACTTCTGTGGTATGTTGGGTCGTGACAGCGGCAACGAAGCGTAAACATGTTTGTCGGTCGTTTTCCGCAGGTTGATGTTCCTGTCGTGTTCATAGAAGAAGGAGACTCGAACTAGCAGTAGTGATTCATCATGACACATCCGTTCATTTGAGGTGACGCAGGCTGATTTCCTTCAATAGGACCGGGCCATGTCGACTTTGTCTCAAATTGAACTATATAACTTGGGAAACATCAGATGCAAAATGCATCGAAAAAGATCAATCTGGATTCTTTGTTTGTAAACATCGATCCTGCAAGCCTGGGACAGCTCCTCATGGGCTGCCAGACTGCTGCAGCTTTTGAAGTCGAGTCGAATCCAGACTCAGTGGAGCTTTTGCCTCACCGGTCAAGGTTTTTTGACTCACAAACAGCATTCCACACCGGTGCCAGAATCTAAGCGAAGCCTTCACGTTGGTCACCTGACACCCCTATCCCTACTTTTTCTTAACCCAATCAAATCAATCAAGCGCGTGACAACTTATAGATGTACTACTTGCATGTGATCATCGTAAACACATGTAAACACCACAATGCCTTAGGTTCGCCACAAAACCACCGGACTGCTGAAATCATATCCTTGATTAGCTACGGTGGTGAGAAAAGCGTGTTTTCTGACGCAGTTTGGGTGCCGCCCAAGGCGCTACCTGCTGAACGCCTTCGAAGCGTTGAGCTTGAAGTCAAAGAGTGAGGAAATCTCTGCAGCCCGGAGATCCCAGTGGTGAATGAAGCACTCCGTGTGCAGAATGCGCTCGGATGCCAGCAGTTCCCCGCGGACGCGGGTGGCCTCGCTGATTAACTTGAGGTGCAACTTTTGGGCCAAGAACGGTGCTTAAAAGATCGTTTGCAGGTTTTTTGTTGGACTTTCTTTTAAACTCCTTGAGTTAGAGTGTTAGGAGTTCAGAGAGGGATTCTCCAACTGCAGACCTATCATGGGATGCTGGACTTTGCCAGATTGCAAGGTGGTCACGACTATATATTGTACTTTTTGTATGTCAAGTGTTTCAATGCTTTTCAAACGCATCAATGCAGGCCATTTACATCAAAAAATGGGCATCCTTGACTTTGGGGAGCCGGTTCTACGTTCGGCCGCCATGACGGTATTGTTTCATCATCCACTGGATCGACATTGCACGCAATGCACTGGTTTCACTGGTACTCACTGCACTCAGGAGAAAGATCTCAATGATATCAGAAATCAACAGGCAGTAGTATTGAGTATTCATAGACACTTCTTGGCGAAGAACAGGAAAGATCACTTTCTTTTGCATGTTCCACATCTTGAAATGAAATACGGGACCACATACAAAGAAATGTAGTATTATATATAGCATTAGCCTTGGAAACACTTGTCTACTTCTTAGCTGAGAAGCAGGTTGGGCCATGCTCCATATTTGTTCGCGTCCCTGCAAGGTCGTGGAGCGGATGGAGGCGCGCACAAACTAAGCGACCCGCATGTGGAGGGAGGGCGGCCATTGCATTTTGAGGGAAGCACTCAATGAAGATCCACTCTACTCTTGGAAACACCAATTTGTAAAGGTGCTTGTCCAACACTTGCTGGAAATTTAGGGTATCCAGGTTCCAATATATATATATATATGTTTTTGCACTGCATACTCCAGAAGTAAAAGCTGGATCAGTCTGAAACCTTCTCTCCGCATTGGGGTTGAAGCTGGCAATCGGGACTCTTACCTAGCCAAAGGCTTTGAACTTCAAACACAAAAGGAAGAAGTATGATACGCTTACCCAGGTGCAGACCCTGAACCAGTACAAATGACTAAGTGGAGTGCATACAACTTCACCAGCAAGTTGTTTGAAAAATGCTGTTTGCAATTACATGGCTCATTGTACGCCACATTCGGACTTTCCCGAAGCGTAGTCTTGCACAGCGCATCCCTTCACTTGGCCAGTGTCCATTCGATGTTTTAACATGAAGAAACCCCTTCAACTGCTGGCTTGGAGGAGAAGACATTGACTTGACCCAGTTAGTCCAGTCGAAAGACCTCAGATCCAGTCCTAGTCCAGTCGCAGGCGCAGCGACGGCTCCTAGGGGCCCTGGGCGGCATGTTGAGCATCGAGGCGCTGCAATGTGTCCTGCGATGGCCTCCACCTAGTAGCGTCCTTGCTCCTAATAGTAATGGCCTCCACCTAGTAGCTTCTAGTGATATATATATATATACTAGAAAGCTTCAAAGACCTACTAAGAGCTTCAAAGATCTATTGGTCAGAGTCCACCGGGCACACGGGGACCACTTGCCAGGTGGACTTCGCTCACTTGGTGCGTTTCGCCCGGCTGCTCTTGATGCCGGGATTTGCCAAGGACGTGGCACAGAGGCGAGGTGTTAGCCCTGGCGAACCGGATCGGTTTGTTTGGAGAACCACGGTGCCTTGTAGCGTCCCTGCTCCTAGTAGCAATGCCCTTTGTTACTAGTAGCTATTTGTTCCTAGTAGTAAGGCCAGGAGCCCGGTTCGAGCGTCCTTGTTCCTAGTAGCAACCACATTTTTTTCTTTGGTTGACAGGATTGAAGTGGAGGCTGCTGCCCTGGGCAAAGTCGCCACATGGCCACATTGGAGGGGAGGAAGAGTGAATGTGATGCCTTGAAGGAAGCGCGAAGTCCCACTGCACAACAGTGAATCCCCCGGATCCTGCCGGATGGGTTTGCCAGGTCGGGCAAGTGACCCTCTCAAAATGGATGGACAAGGGTATTAAATGATATTCATATTAAAAATACTACTATTTATCAAGTAAACCCGTTTCAGATAGCTGTTGGCATTAAATCCAATGCCGTCCTCTCTTTGTCTTTCGCATGTGGTTCACCTGGTGTTTGAAAACCAGCCCTATTTTCGAAATTGCGGGAGCCCCAATGATTGCAGCACAAGAAGAGCTCGAGCCGTGCCATGCCGCGCTCTTTGAGTTGGACAAGGAAGCTCCAGCCGTGCGCTTTGCTTTTTCAAAGTGGACCGCTTCAGAGTCATTAAGAGGGCAATTGGACTCAATGAAACATCCTCACCCGGACTTTTCTGAAGTTCTCTTGGAGACTTTTGCGGCGCAGTCTTTGTCTACAGCATGTGTATATATGCTTATACCATCTTATACCCCGTTTGAGTCTACAGCATGTCTACAACTCTGAACGTCCTACCTTCAAGCACGTCAGAATCGGATAGGGCGCTCCCCCACACGACGTTCGTGGGGAGAGGAAGTCCTCTTCGTGCCGAGGTCCTGGGTCGCGCCAAGGCCGTCGAGAGCGGTCAGGTGGCCGACGTGGTCGGCGGCCTCAGCAGTCGGCACCGAGAGATGCGAAGAAACGTCGCACCGATGCGCGGGCGAAACACGCGCGGGTGAAACACGTGTTCCCCAAGAGGGCGGGAGAGATGCGTGTGTGGTCGTGTTTTGTGTACATGCCATATAGGTGCTAATTGAACTAGATGTTTGTCTCCCAGGCGGTGAGCTGGTGACTAAAGTGACGAAAGTGAGGGAAAGCAAAGCAACATTTGTTGTGGGTCTCGAGTGTCACCCAAAGTGACTGCTTGGCTAGGCGGTCATGTCTTGGGGATCTGGCAATCGGTAGAGAAGAGATTCCCTCCTCCTGTTTCTATTGAAGCATGATAGGTAACCCATGGTAACCCACTTAGATCACTATTAGGCAACAATGGTTACCCTTCCATAATGAACAGTGTGACATGTATGGCCAGCTGCTTCTGGTAGAAGAGTTCGACATAAGAATAAGAACAATTTGGACAGAATTGATTACAGGCCAGTGGTTAGTTTGTATAGATCTTGGAATTTAGTCATGCTCAAACCACTTGTTCATGGTCCTGCCCAGTGAAACTCACCATTATTTAATTTGAGAGAATCAGAGAACCGGAAACCGGCTTTGAAGTGCTGCCCAGACGCTGCGCAGATTCTGCGCAGTCGCGCTCGAGCCAGGTGAAGTTGGACGACCTGAAGTCGATCCTTTCCTTGCCAGGAATGTCCAACAGCGACGTGCTGGCCAGGACAGTTTCGGCCGATAAAGATGTTGGTTTCATGTTGCGAGGGGGGTCATGCTGGGGCAAGTGGACGTGTCAAAGTTGTTCTGACAATTTTGCACATCGTGTTTTCTGAGGCATCGTCTCTACAATATAATATAGCTTCTGGTTTCTGGGTCATGGATTCCTAATGTTTCCCATCTGAGCATGAAAACAGTGGTCATGATATCTGGCTCTCGTGGATCGTCTCCAACCGGTGGTGTTGGGAGTCGGGGAGCGTGCCAGGATCACGTCTCCTCCTTTGTCCGAGGCGCCCGGGTGGGATGGATCGTCCCAGGTTAAGGAGCGCCTCTAGTAGCGAGCACTAGCAGATTGTGCTTGGTTTTTTATACCTGTGTGTTCCTGGTCTGTGTGAAACAAATAGATTTGGAATATACCATAGCCTTCAATCACCATTGCAAAACACGGTTGACCTGGTATTGTAAAATCCGTAGTAAAACAATGGCTGTTGGCCCCATGGTGTGTATGTATATATATATATAGCGTCTTTGTTGACCTTGTTCTTTTCTACAGCTATTCAGACTCTACCACGTAGCTTGAGGTCAGCTTGCCCATCTTGCACATTGCACGTGGATCAAGTGGGTTCGGGTCGATTGCAAATTTGGAGCCACACATTGGGGGCTGCTTGAGCATGCATTTGGATAGAATTAGGATGAGATGAGATGAGATGGGTTGGGATGGCATTGGATGGATAGATAGATAGATATTGACTCTCATCCATTGTGACACATTATGTGGTATAATATGGGGGTAGGGTCCAAGTTCCAAGTCCAGCTACTTTGAGAAGCGTTCTGAGCGGGGGGTTTTGTTTTTTCTTCCACAATCTGTTCTCGCAAACCCGGGTGCTTCACAGAAAGTGCTCGTATTGGCATATGGAGCCCCTGCAGCCACATCACATATTGAAACCTAAGTAGCGCAGAAACATTCTGAAAAAGGACATGCATCAAGTCAACTCGCTAATCCAACCAATACAACTTACCAAGTCATGAGTCAATCCTCCAGACCTCGCAGCAGATCACTGGGTGCTCACAGCACGCTCATCCAGGCCCCCTTAGACCAGATCCTGGATGCTGTTGCATCGGCCAGCGCGGCTCATGCGCCGGCCTTCGCGCGGGAGGTGACCGGTGCTGTTCTCGACGGGACGGGTGAAACGACTCCCCCTTTGGGGGTCGGGATGTCGGAGAGATGAGATTCCAAGTGATGGTAAGGCACTTGTTACTACTAGCGATGCACCTGTTACTAGTAGCTTCCTACCCCAAGTATATATCGGTAATTCAGGAACCATCCAGTATTTGATGCCACCATGGACCATGGCCATGAATGCGCTTTTCTTTGGAATTTAGCTCTCCAAGGGTCAATTTGATGGTTTGGTCTCACAAGGGCTCAGGTGCTACACGGGTGAAGTGGCTTCTGCATGACACAAAGTTCCGGCAGGAGCTCGCTGTGCCGTGTGTATTGCACGCAGGATTGGTTGGAAACGGGGCGAGAGCCCACACCATGTCCGCGAAGTCGTGCCATTCATCCGGTGCAGTCCGTTCACGTTCTGATTGGCCTAAAAGGCCTGAATGGTCGGCTCGGCTCTTCTTCGGTGATCGGCTCGTTTGCTCGGCTCTTCGACATGACGAACACATGAGGATCGCTGCATGAGGCCCACACTGAGAATCCACACTGAAAGCTCACACCTGGCCGTCAGGCTGGTCAGTTGGCACTCCATAAAGTGAGTGGGAAGCCAAGGGACTGAGCGTTGCGAGCCACTTCGGATGGTGACGGTGTTTGTGTTTGATACGCTTTGTCAGAAGAATTCCGAAAGAATCACGCCCAAGAGTTCTAGCCTGAATTGGCCTTGCTGTCGCAAGAGATGATCAAAAGATGTTGGTCTCCTGGACATTCCATGTTCATTCAAGTTCCAACTTTTGGATGACAGATGTCCTGGTCTTTATTTGGTGGTTGGCTGGCCACTGGCTTCGAGTGGTTTGGCTTTTCAGATCTCAGCCCCAAACCTTTTGTTGGGAAAGACACAACTATCATGTCAATGATCTATAGATGTTGGTTGTTAGTTGTTAGCGTTCCTTCGGTTGGGAAAGAAATCGTTGGTTGGTAGGAAAAGTGCAATAACATGCAAGAACGGGCACACCTGTCTTGATGCACGTGTTTATCAACAGAGGGGCATGTACTGCACGAAAGAGCAAAGATGTGGGCCATGGACATGGACCCTTAGAGAGAAATTGTATACCCGAACCAATGATAATGTGATGTCTTGGGCCGAGCTAGCAGAGGAATATAGCTCTATGCCAAGCCCAAAAGGCCCAAAAGGTGGAATGTGGAGAAGCCTAATGTGAGTCCTTGTATCCAGGTTTGTTTCTCTCTCTTTCTCTCTTTGTTTTCTTTTCTCCCTCTCTCTCTCTCTCATTTGGACTGCAATTAACGACAATATACACATTCTACATCATTCTGCCTTTACCCATTTGATCCCACAATTTGTACCAAACGCGGTGATTCTGTTTATCCAACGAGTCTCTTTTTGACGACACCCAGGCAGGTTCGGCGCATCTGCTGTCGATGTGGCTTCTGTGGTGACTGCATTGGCTCAAAACGGCCACATGGCACAGAACAATGGTGCAGAGTGGGAATGGAAAAATGGCGAAGGTTTGAGTCAGAGTGTTTGATTGTGAGATTTGGCTGGATTTGGTAGCTCGGACTGTTCTAACTACTGTACATATAATATCAGCTCGAGTGCAGAACATCAAAAATAGGAAAAGAAAACACCGGCGCAATGCTCCGGACTTCGCTCGAAACTTCCCATTTGACAAGATGTTTGTGTTTCCGTCAATAACAAAAATAACACGACTAGTCACGTCGCACATGAGCAGACACACCAACCAGGTTGCCTAAACTTCTTCAAGCTTCACCAGCCAACCAAAGCAACTGACCTCAAGAATGGACAAATAGTCACTAGTTCATCGTCACGTGAGTCTTTGAACAGTCAAGGTCTTCTCCTGGAATCCTGTGCACCATTGCTGGTGAAGCACGCTCCAATGATCAAGACAGAGGAGATCGCTGTCGCGCGACAGGTTGAAATGCTGCACGGTGGTCTGGAGGTTTTGGAACTGATGGTGGTGGAATGAATCCAATGGCTGTGGGTCATACGCCTGCTATATGCTTCTTTGCAGACTGAAATATGTCAACCTGCCCATTGGTTTGTTTTCTTTCGAGTTGCATTTCAATTGTGGGAGGCAGGGGTGCGTGTAAAGATACGGTGCGTCCGATTTAGATTTAGATATATTGGACTTGGACTTTGAGGCATTGTTGTGTTGACTCCCGGTTACCTCCGAGGACAACCATGCCAACCATGCCTGACCTCCAGCAAACATGATATCACCTGCAAGGTCACACATGGATTAACCTGAGTTTCCCATCGGGACGAAATGGCACGAAAACGAGATTGTGACAGGGCCCGGATCAGACCAAGCTCTCATGTTCCCTCATGTTCCTATTGTCATGATCAGATTGACCTGGTTGGTTCACACATTGGGTGAGATCGACCCCAGCCCTGACTGTCTATAGCTGATCGTCCTTTGAAATGGAACCCCTCCGTCCGAAGACCGGCAGACCCCTCCGGCACAGGAGCTCGCTGCGGCTGTGGCTGCGTTGGGTGAGAAGGGCTACGAAGGTGCCGAACATGGTCCGACCATGTCCGGAACGGACGACCGGGTTCCGGACCGGAATTTAGGAGGGCGAACGGTCGGGGCGCAGGAGGTCGGTCTCAGAAGGCTCGGAGAACAGGCGACATAAATCCCTCCTGAACAGCCCCACAGAGAGATCTATCATAAAATCCGCGGAGTTGTGTCGGCTTCGCATCAACCGGAAGATCAGCTGCTAGACAAACAGCTTTAGCTTGGGTGGGGGACTTGTTTTGCTCTAGAATGCTGTGTGTTTTGTATTTTTGGTGTTTTCTATTTAAAAAAATACGAAAATTGATATCGTGTGAATGATTGTCCGTATGGCTTCGGAGGTAAAAGTTCGCGATGCCTCTTCTGCACCCCGGGGAGACTGCATTATTGACATCGTGGGTGTGTTCGTCCGTGTGTCCTGCCAGACCAAGACAGACTGACAGACCGATACAGACATACCGAGACAGACCGACCGAGAGACTGTGTGTGTGTGTGTCCACCCCTGGACAAAGGGTCTTCCACCACCACTCTTTCCACCTTACATGAGCAGGGGGACACAGCATTTCACTGGGACTGTGTCCAACGAAGCTACCAGTGAAATGGGATATCCAGCTTGGCCAGCTGGACGTACCTGCTCGTTCTTTCACAAGCTGTTACTCCACTTTTCCACTTCTTGGTTCATGGTTCTTCACGATTTCCACCCCATAAACATTCGTCCCCAGCAGCTGTGCAGCCGGTTCGCTTTCCGCCGCTTGCGAGTGCCAACCTTGTTCAACAATACTGTTTTCAGCTGACCTTTCCACCTTGCTGTTCCATCACCTTCCTTCCCAACGTGGTAACTGAGTCACTGAATACAAGTGTCAGAGTGTGTTTCGCTCAGCCGTCCCACTCGGGTGCTGAGTGTGATCCCCGTCACAGGGGCGCCGATCTTGCATGGGAAAGCAACCACCCCAACGCACCACCACTCACTGGACTCTCACAGGAAGGCACCGACACCCTCACCGAATCAACTGACATACCGGCCGCCGGGCCAAAAAACGGTTCTTGAAGAATACATCGGATTTCAGCTTTCAGATTTCGGATCCATCATTTCATTTCATTTCTTCAAGTCATGTGCGTGTTTCCACGTTTTGCCATATTGATGCCGTGATTCTTTCATCGACAGAACTCAAGGATGGGCATTAGAGCTCTTCAGCTTAATTCGAGATGCATGAACACACACCTACCAACAAGCTCACATCTAGCACCACCTTACAACATACTCTCCATCGACACCAGAGATGACACCTTCAACAACAACAAGACAATACAACTCGGCACTTCTCCGCTGCCTTTTCGCTGCCGCGCCGCGCCGTGCCATAGCTACGACCACGACATGCATTTTCCGTGGCCCTACGCTCACGCCACGCCACCACCATTACCTACCACACAACCTCAACCCACATGGCCGCTGCCACAGCCATCCACTGCACCCACCTTTCCCACGACACAACCATCGGCATACCCTCACCCACAACCACAACCATTTCAACCACCACCTTTTTTGTCCAACCCTACCACCACTGCACTGACCTACGGCACACCATCCACTTGGACGTTTGTGCAACCATGTCACGTGCCACCGCAGCCCACACATCCAACTCCAGTATTTCCGACAGCAGCACCTCCCCCTTCATACCTGTTGCCACCACATCATCCCACACCACCGGCTGAACTTCCTCCCCCCACTACAATGACACATCCCTCTCCAACACAGCAACAGACTGCGATTGCCAATCATCCATCCACAGACCCCCAATGCGCCATCCCCCAGGGCGTTTGGCAACCCTATTCAGCTTTTCCCCCAGTCACACAGCCTCCACTCCAACCATTGCCCCCGCCACCACCTCCACAAACCATCAACGCCTCACCACCAGTCCAACCTCCACTCCAACACCAGACACCATCGGATCCAGCACCACCAATCCAGCACATCCCCACAACTGCCACGGACGCTTCATTGCCGGTCCAAAACACGACCCCTCCAGCTACCGTATCCCAACATTCTGCATCACTATCGCTAGTATCAGCCACACCAGCACCCGGACCTTCACTACCTGCACCAGACAAGCTTGACACCACTGTCTCACCAGCACCGCAACCACCTTCCCCGCAACCACCACACAGCAGTCGCCGCCACCACCACAAGAACCGACACAAGTCCGACCATCACCGCAGAGGACGCCACCGCCACCGCCGCCGACATCGACATCACCGCCACTCCAAACATCACAGCTCAACCCGGCGACGGCGTTCGCCTTCGACATCCACTTACACATCCAGCCTTACGCCATCCCGCAGTCGCTCACCACCACAACCCATCGATTTACGCCCCAACACTGCACACACCAACCCAGACCCCTCTCAATTTCCCACCACAGCCGTCCTCCATCGCCCAATCAACCGTTGGCGACCTCCACCCAACTTTCACACCTTTACACCTGCCGACCAAATCCTGGAATGGCTCGAATTCCACGCCACCCAACTCGACAATCCCAACCGACCACAACACCAGTACATTGCCAATCTCCTCACAGACTGCAACATCACCTACAAGGAGATCACCGATTTCCGGCAATATACTCACGCCAAGTGGAACGACACAACTCACCAATACGACCAATTCCAGTACTACGCCATTTCACTTCCTTTCCTCAACACCAAAGCCACTACACCAGAACCGCCTGCGGTTTCCCGAGCCACATCAACCCACCGGGAAGTCGCCCACATCAACGCAGGCCACACAGGCCCTGTCGGCAACATTTCCAACATTCTACGTCAAGGCCGATTTTTACCCAGCACACTCCACTTTGCCAACTACCCTGGATTTTTTGCCCAGGGCGTTCGCATCACCCACAACCAACCCCATGACCACAACGAATTTGCCCGCATCATCCACAACACCTGGCAACTCCACAAGAACTCCCATTCCCTTATCATCACACTCCTTGCTTGGGGTGCTGCCACAAAATACGCCTCCGGAGGTGAGGAACACGCCATGAACCCCCTTAACGATCACCATGGTGCAGTCTTCCATCAGAAGGGCCGCTGCTGGGTGATCCACCCGGACCACGCCATTGTCAAAGGACTGGCCTGGTCCACAAACTCCACTCCACCTGACACATAACACCACTGTCCCACACCTACACACCACTACCACCTCCACATCCACCTTTGGTCTCACACCACCACCTAACCTTTGCTCGCAGCAGCCAAAAAGAGCCTCCTGCAGCGGCCACGCCAGTTTTGAACCCTCAATTTTTCAAGCTCTGCAGTTGTTGCTGTAAACATCTTTCTTAGAATTGTACCGGCTGTTTTGATGGAGTATTTCACATGCCAGAGTCTCATGTATTTGACTGTCCAACCGGCATTGCATTTTCGTACTTTGCCTGTGGGAATTTGATGCTCGCTTAATTCATATGCACGGCCTCGTGATGACGCGCTCCCTCAGACTCGCCGCTGTCCGGCTGCTTTGGCGCGCTGCTGCAGCAACCCGTGACGATTCTGTGCTACTGTACATCCCTACATCTCTGAATCATGAGCAGCATACCGACACCTCTACACAACGACACCTCAACCCTCATACACAGAACCACAGTGGTACTTTCGCAGGTGCAAAACCTGCTCAGACAAGCAACAGATATTGTAGCACACCTCCACACTCATTTCCTCCACCACATCCACCAAGCGGATCCCACTTTCCGCCAACACTTTCAGCCACTTCCAACTCCCCCCAACCACCCTATACGTTTACCATCCACCACCTCCTCCTGTGACTCAGCACCATCCAGACCACCCATCCGTTTACCAACACCACCCTCAAAAGACTCGGACGACACCCCAACAACACCCCCAGATCCACAACCCACCACAACACGCAAGCGGAAGCAACCACTCCCACCACCACTGAACCAACAGGCGGACTGGGATGCTTGGGACGGCGACGCCGACTGCCGCCTGGTCGAACTCAAAGAAAACCCCAGACTTCGTCCCAACTGGACCACTGTGGCTCGCCGAGTGGGCTTCTCCGTCGAGCAATGCCAAGCCCGATGGCAAGAACTCAAGGACATGCAACGTCAGCAGGACCAGCAACTCTCCTCCACACCACCACCAACAGAACCACCAAGACAAGCACCTTCCCTATCACCAACACCCACATCACCAGCAGTTTCCCCAGCACCACATTCCCAACCGGATTTCTCCCCTTCCCCCATAACAACGCCACCGACTTCACCACATCGAACGCCTCCTGCTGCTGTGCTGCTGACGCCGGCCGCTGAGCGCGAACTTAGTGAGAACAGTCATCCGGAGAAATCTCCACTTACGCCCGTTGGCAGTTATTTCATTTGACCCGTTTCACCCACCTTTCTCTACGGCGTGCCGCAGGACAAATCCACTGACGTGCACTGACATTTAGTTTTTCACGCCCAGTCTACTTTCACCAGGTTGCCCAACTTCGACTTTTCAGTTTTCAGGCTCACTTCAGCTCCGCAGCCTTTTGTGCGCCATTTTACTGCACCAATTGTCATGGCCAATCCTCGCGCTCGCCCTCATAGCAACACCGCCGACACAGACCACTACCTCCCACAGCGCCCTCCGAGCTGGCTCCAACCTTCGATTGGCACTCAGCCTGACTTTCAATCCCTCAACAGCTCTTTGGACCCTCTTTTTCTGGTCAACCAACACCTCCGCCATCACCCATTTCACACTGAACCTATGCCAAGCCAGACCTATTTTCAAGACCAGAGAGCATACAACCTCCTTTACCGAATGCGCGGTGACCTGATCTTGCTGGACCGCCTGATTGATAACCTCTCCCAGGCTCGTCGGCTCCTTCAATTTGTTACCACCGGCCCAGGGCTCCCAGGACTACCGCATCAATCCCACAGCCTCACTCTCCAGCAGAAACCTGGCCATTCTACACGACATACCGCCAGGTTTTCCACTACCACCCGGACTT